CTGCAGCAGCTGCAGCCATTTGCGGATTGACAGCACCATTGTTCATCATGGGCATTGGCGCACCACCGACAGGACCGCCCATGGCATTCATGTTGGCCATGCCCATGTTCGGGTTCATGGCCATTATGGGGGCGGGACTTTGACGGCCGCGACGCGAACAGGCGGAGGAGAGAGAGGAGTCGGTAGAGGAGTCGGCAGTCTAGGACTTTGGACAAGCAGGGCAAGTGCAGGCGGGATTGACGAAAAAAAGATAAAGGACAATCTGCCTCCACAAGCTCCGCGAAGACAAGGGAGATGGCTAGGCTGTTGGAAGCCCAGGCCGGGATAAAGATGGGTTTGGGGGGAAAGAGAAGAGGGAATCGAGCGATACCGTCAGGCTCTGAGAGGCGTGGCCGTAGCGGCGTCGTGGGCGAGAGGGGCGAGACGGGTCCGTCGACGCCAGGCGCGGCAGGGGTTTCGATACTCGGTCGCGGCAGTCGAAACAGGGTCGGGGCAGATGAAATGCGCAGTCCACTGGGGAAAACGACGATGGAGTTCCCGCAGACCTGGATGCGCGCGTGAAGATGAAGCAGATAACAGGAAGAAAAGAATGGATATGGATGAATGGTGATGGAGAGGGAGGGTGTGATGTGAATGAAGGTGGACAGAGAGTTTCACCCGGCTGGGGGCTGGGCGAAGAGAGCCGCTCACTCGCTCTCGCTCGTCTCGCCGCGGATGCTCGCTCAGCACAGTCTGGATACGTGGGTGCCTCAGCAGCGAAAAATCAGAGCAAATCCGCCCAGGAGGCCGGTGACGCCAGAGGCAGCACGGCCGAGTGCGGATTTCTGGTCAAGATGCGCAGCGTACACGTGCAGTCGTGCACCGTCGTCTGGTCAGCGTCGCCGTCACCGTCAGCACTCGCGCGCTGAGCCGTGGAGACAATTGTCGCGATGGGGATGAATGAGATGCGGAAGGCTGGAGGAAATCGACTCCGTACTGTGGAGGCAATGAGGCGGGATGCGAGACAGGGCACCACCATGGAGCGCCGTGCGAAGATCGGCGGCAGTCAGCGGGCGCCTGGTCCGAGACACTGTGTATCACACACTGTGCACTCCGCGGGGTCCGCGGTCGCGCCATCATAGTACGTGGCACAGTGTCCACGCGGTGCTGGTGCGTGCTTGTTCGGGACCAGACCCTAATCGCACAGTGTCGACCCTTAGAAGCAAGCCCACATCTCGGCGGGTGCCGCAGGGTCTCTGCCCCATGGGCCTGGCACGACTGTAGAGCCCCCTATCTGCTGGCGTATTCCTCAGACCAAGTCGCGCACTTCCTGGCCCGCGCGTCAGCTGCCTCGTGCCTCAGGCAGGCGGCTGCATCATCGTGGTCCAAAGGACTGCCAATGGCAACACAAGCCCAATTAGTGTTTGCAATTGCAATCACTCTGCAATCACTTTGGCCAATGAGCTGGATGCTTCTCGTCAATCTCATGACCCTACTTGACGTTGAGCAAACTGTCCAGACTGAAGCCTGGTGATCTCTTCGGAATTCTGGCACGGATAGATGCCGTCCAATTGTGTCCCAATGCTCACGAAACAAAACAGTCCAGCTGTCGCCGACTTCTTTGGGAATTTTTGGTCATCATGAAGTCGAGGAACGCTCAACCCCATCTATCCGTTGACCCACTCGGGGCCCTTTCCTTAGGAGGGGCCTGTTTGCCGGACTGACCTCGATGTCCTATTTTATGAAAACTGTGATGCACGTTTGCAAACTGCTGGAGGCGTTCGAGAGTAGGAGAAACAACATGACACCACTCGTGGATTTTGTTCCACTGCAACAATGGCATGTGGCGTGGCTTCATTGCTGAGCTGATGTTACGGCCCTTTTTTTTGTGGGGACGAAGACAACGATTGGCGTTTGGCAAGGACAGCAAGGTTCTTCGAATCGAAGGGCTGCGACCGCGGGAACATGCAGGAGAACTTGATTGCTTTCGTATGCCCTATCGTATATGGAGTCTTTGGATGCAGGTCAATGAGCGACAAAGCTTGGACTTAATTTGTCATGCACGCTTCTTGACCGATACGGCAGCGTTTGTATATTTTGACAAGTGTCTTCTTCGTGCATCGGCCGCTTCATCGCGTTGCCGTCGAGCACAACATTCTTTCCCGTCACTGGTGATGAAGCTCAGTACTATTGGCAAGGCCGGAGATAGTATACTGTCACGTAACAAATAGCCGTGTCAGTCGATAAATCAGCCGAGCAATGCAAGGGCATTGTCCATCGAAACTCGCAAAGTTTCGGAGATAGTATAATTATGCAATACAGGGTAGCGCAGGGGTTGGCCAATTCGGCTACTGCCATGCCGGACGGCAACAGAGGAGAGAACAACGAAAGAATGAGGAGGTGGATAGTTGATGAGATCAACACCAAGGTACAAGCCATCTCTTATTTCAACCGCATTGAAAAGATATAATCTACCGTATTTTGCAGCTTGGTCGCAGACGCTCGCTTTGGAAGCCGATTAGTTTCCAATAACGGCCCTCCCCGACAGATGACATGTAGGCGGAGTGCCAGAGTGGTTAATGGGCTTGACTAGAAATCATGTGGTTTCGGCCGCGCAGGTTCGAATCCTGTCTCCGTCGTCATCCCATCCTCCGGGACGAATTCTTTTGAACGTGCGCGGGGAATTGCAACATAACAGCTTTTTTTTTGCCAAACCCGTGCATCCACTCACTCTCTCGGCTAAACGGTGGGGCCTAACTTGTGGCTGAAAGCTTTAAGACTAGACCTCTGCAGCTATCAACACTAGTTACAAATTACACTCTCTGTCTGATAGGTGCTGATTGACAAAGCTGTCAATGACGGAATTTTCCCGTGAAAAGGGGTTTCAAATAAAGGCTTCAATCAAGGTTCCGATATCCCAAAAACGGACGCTGCGGCTCCTAGCCACAAGTTAGGTGCGGGTTTCGCTAGGTTCAGACTTTAGTGCTTGATGAACGTGCCCTATTTCTAAATGACACATAGCTAAGACGCATACACTCCTTGCTACCACACCGCGGTTATTGCAAGTCAAACTAGCGCAGGCCTCTTCTTACTTCCGCAGGTCTTATTACTTGTCGCAGGCCTCTCACAGTAGGTCGTGGTATACCAACGTTCGACAAAGGGAGCTCACGGAAGTGGGTGGTAGACTAATGTGCAATTGAAGAGAGCAACAAAATAGCAAAGCGTGTATAGACAATTATTAAGGCGAAATGGTCAGCTCATTAGGCGGAGTGTCCGAGTGGTTAAGGAGACTGATTAGAAATCATTTGGGTTCGCCCGCGCAAGTTCGAATCTTGTCTCCGTCGAGCCGATTCTTTTTTCCCTCTCTCTTTTTCTTTTCTTTTTTCTTTTTTTTTTTCAAATTCAGAAATTTTTGGTCTTTTCTTCCCCTTCTGCCTCAACGGAGGGACTAGTGCCAGTACAATTGGCTCAGTGGGGGACTTTTGATTGAACTGCCAGCGTGCATTTTGCACGATTTTCTCCCGCAATGAAGCCATCAACCACTGGCGAACCAGCTACCATCTGAGAACGTGAGACTTCAGCAACACTAACCCCCCAGCGACATGATCATGAAAGACAGAATGTGGTGTATCCTCAGCTGGGGGGGATGATTCTTCGCCTCTGCCTGACCTGAATTGCTCCGGCTTGTAGGCAAACTTGCCCTTATGTACCTCACTTCGCTTCCACACAATGAACCGTGACCGAGATTCCCAGACACGACCCCAAGGGCATTTACACACATAAAATGCGACGCCAAGTTAACAAAATTCAGAGGCAGACGAACCTCCCGCAGTCATTCTTTGCATACGGTGACTGATGGGAGATTTCCACCTGCCTCTGATGAAGTCACCATGTCCCGAATCTAACCTCCTGAATCGCATGTCAGGTACGTCCATAAGACGCCACTCGCCTGTCGTTCAACTGGATTCATTGCTGCCCTAATTGTTTCTTGAGTCGCAGGGAAACTGTCCCCTGACTTTGGCCATGTTGCGCGCCAGTTGAGTGACTGCCTATCATGAGCTTCAGCAATAAAAGGTATTACCAGACCTGCCTCCTGACAAGGACATCCATCTTGCGCTCACGATAAGCCATAATCGAAAGAACACGCGTGTAGTCTCGGCGGTTTCTGTGAAGGTGGCAAACAAGCCAAGACGATATTGCGATTTCCCACGCGATCAAGCACCATCTGCCACCGCTTGAAGCTTGCTGGAAGAAACGTAGCGAATGCCGAATGCTTGATTCTAGGAAGTATTTTTCATCGACAACCGGCTCAATGGCTAGGGCAGATATCCATGCTGTATTCTAGTCATCGTTGTCCGGTGCAGACTTGTGTTGCTTATGTCTGCCAAAGGCCTGCGACAAGCGCAGACCTCAAGTACAGCCGATGTCTTTCCCTCATGTCTATCATAGCTACCGTCAGGATTTGAGGTGGAGAGGTGTGCTTTTCAGCTATCATCTCTAGCTTCGCGCCATGTGGGTGGCTTTTTTTTTTGCATCTGACAGGCTTGAACTTGCATTCATGGACCAGCCGCCGACGACGGGGACCAGATTACGCAAAACACTACTTGCAATTTCTTGGCATAGCTGGTCGTACTCGTACTGTGCAGGAAATCCGCGCGCGGGGGGGGGGGAGGGGGTATCCCTTTGATGCGGGGAAGTCGACAGCATGGGAAGACGAAGCGATTTCGTGCACACGGAAGAGCCCAGTGAAATTGGCGTTAAAGAAAACCCTACTTTTTTAGGTGGAGAGGGGACGGAAAGAAGGGACGGAGTTGTTACTAAGAGTGTAATGCTGTAATAGCTTGTGCAAAATTTACGAGCGAGTAATGTGCAAAAGAATGTTCTATGAAAAAGTGCATGGAGGTTTTCAAAAATCAAACATCAACCATGTTGATTGAGGATGTTTCGTGTCCCATCCTCATTGTGTATCAAAGAAACAGAGTATATAGCACAAGATAACTTGCGAACAGACATGAATCATAGGCAGAGTGCTAGAGTGGTTAATAGGTGGCACTCGAATACACAGTAGTGTGCGGTAATGCCATGTCTTCGGACGCGCAGGTTCAAATCCTGTCTCTGTCGGTTCATTTTTTTGGTTTTTCTGCAGCGGATTTCCCCACCCCATACATAGCGTTGCTGTCATATCCGTTCTTGGCTGTTGATTCTTCAACTCATTTTTTCTTCTAGAGCTCTTTGCCTCCTTCCACATCTATGCCGTAGTTTAACAACTTGTTCAAAAGCGTTATACTGCCATCTAAGCACAATATTCGCGACGTCGCGCGACGCATGCAACTCAACCATCGCCCCCAGTTTAACCCAATACCATGCATCTCGACCTGAAAATTCCACACAAGGATTGGACGTGCAAAACTACAGGGAAAAAAAATTGTGAAAGCCATGCGCTCGTTTGAATATCTTGATGGTGGCATTGGTTTACGGCCAAGCCGCAAGTTCATAACATGATTACGATCCTACGTCTTCTTTCCTCAGTTCGTGCAGGCCGTCGAGTGATCTACCTGGTTCTCATTGCCCAGCGGGTCCCCCAATCTCACCCCCAGTTGGATAATGGTATTCTCGTAGACCCTCGCGGCATCCAAACGAATCATTTCCTCGTACGCGTCCCAAACGGAGCCGAAATCCCCGGGACCTTCAGCCGCACTGTCCTCATCCACGTCAGTGCCGTCATCCACGTCCACGCTCTCGTCCCTGTCCTCATCCTGCTCATCCATATCGGCACCGCCCAAGATCTCAACCATCAGAACCCTCGTCTGCTCCACCAGGCTCCTGCACCGTACCATGTCCGTGGTCGTCATGCCCGCTCTCAGGCCATTCTCAAACCCGGGCAACGGTTCCTTGGAGACAATGTCCTGTCCGCACAACAGACTGGCGAAGCAGTGATCCAGCTTGCGGAGGAAGCCGAGGGTTGCGCGTGGCGAGGGCGCAAACGAGCGCACATAGCGCGTGAAGTCGCTTGCTACTGTGAACAGGTATGGAATTTGCAGACTGGCTGGGAGCACTGTGAGCACACGTGGCGAAGGAATTTTTACCGCCAAAAATTTTCATGCCATCACGTACGTGTTCCGGATAACCAGAGCATGTTGACCACACTCTCTAGTTCTCTGCATACCTCTGCCATGGACTTGAAGCCAGGGGAGACATTGCCGGGTGTGGGGTCGCGAAATCTCGTGAGGTATTGACGGGAAGTGAAGAGTAGACTCGTTTCGACGTACTCTCGCAGAACGACTTCTTTGCTTGACCCCGGCCGTAGGGCGTGTCGGCGAGGATGTGGAAGGGTGCTCGGTGTGCGGTTTGATGTGGAGGAGGGGGCGGGGGAGGGAAGCCCAGTTTGCGGTAGGAATCCGCCTGGTTCTTCGCTCATAATGGGTGTGGAGGCTTTGGAGTAAATATGCAATGAATTCTCTCCTCCCAAGCACAAAGGTTTGGCTCGACTCTGGATGCTCTGGATGACATTCATGACAATGACATGGTCGGCAGCGGCTGCGATCCCCACATGAAGCTCGAAAGGCGCCAATCATGTGATGGCTGGTGGCAGTGGCCCCGCTCAATTGCCAGCTTTGTTGGCCGTCAGCCTGTCATCATCGGCGCCGACCCTGGGCAAGGAAATTTTTGAAGCCGCTCCCAACGAACGCATCGCCAACCTCGCGTCCCAGAAGCCTCCCACACAACTAGGATAAGATGGCTCCCAAGAGAATCCATGGCGAGAAGGCCCGACGCGCCCCCAAGGGCTACTTGGCATACACCTACGGCGTCTTGACCTCTCCTGACAATGCTGCCTTTGTGCGAAGCATTGCCTTGTTCGGCGTGAGTTTTGTGGCGAGCGCATCCGACTTTGACGGTGCTATCACCAGGACTAACGATTGCCACCTAGGCCGCCGTTACTCTTCTTGCCAGCCCCTGGGGCGAGTACCTACTGCCTCCGTATGCGACCACGCCATGACTCCCCCCCGGTGCCCACACATCCTGGCCACCATGAATGCTAACTATCTTGTCGTTCCGTAGCCAGTAACGGATGACGCCATCAAGAACGTGCGGAACGCCGAGAGCCTTCTTCATTGTGCGCCGATAAGACAAGGGATCGGTCAAACCGAATTTCGAACAAACTGTATGATAGATGATATCGACTGTACGCTAGACTGCTGGCATACCCTTGCCTTGGGATGGGGAAGGGCGAACTAGGAACGGAATTGGAAAATCGAAGGAACGAAGGACACGGTCGCAGCGGGCTAAAAAGGCTGGGCCTGAAGCGCGAGTTTGATCAATGAGCATCTCTTCTCGGCTTTGAGATACAATGGACGCCTTTTGTTGTGCCAATATCGCGGATCACTGAGTGCCCTCCCTCCTATCACACTACATCCGATTTCATAGTGAGCTGCATGGACAAGTTACAACCGACCATAAGAACCGATGGAGAAGGAGCGAGACACTGGATGCAGAGGCCTTGAAGCCACTCGTTGTTCAGATTTGCCCAGGCCTCCTTCCTCACGAGCATGACAGACGCACTAACGCGCATTCATACGGCAGGTCTGGCCATTGTCGACAACAACCAAGTCAACAAGTCATTGAGAACCATGGAAGCCCACAAAGACGTCTGGTCTTGCACCAATAATCTATCGTCACGAAAAAAAAAACAATAAAAAAATCCCCCAAATCGCAGCATGAAAGGGCCTGTATGGGAACAATGCCGATTCGCTCGTTGCTAACAACCAGTCAGACCATGGCAAACCTTGCTCACTCGCCAAAACATGGAACGGCAACGATCCCCCGTCAAAAGCGCCCATCAGGAACTGGTAGGGGGCTGTCTCATCTGGTGTCCAAGTTTGAGATCCTGGATAGCTTGTCGCGCCAAAGCAAGCCAGTGCCGACCAAGAAAACCAATCTACCAGGTTGCCATGACTCTACATTGGAGCTCAATAGACCACCGTCTAGCACTTCCTCTGTGTCGGCCCGATCTCTTTATAATCATGTGGAGAGCGACAGTGTCGCCAACGTCGTTGCAGGACTGGACGAGGAAGCCAAGGACAACGGATCTGCCACGGGAGAAGCCCGTGTTTCGTTGGTGGCCGAACGTAGGAAGCTGTTTGAAGTAAACCTTGGAGATGGCAGGCTCAGTATGTTGATGGATTCTTGGCCGCTTCACCCATTTGCCATTCGAAGTTGAGCCGCAGAGCTTTGGAAGAGACGCTGACAACGGCTGGCCGGCTAGCTGCACCTATCGAACCCCATCACGCATCCGGCCGTCCTGTCAAGCAGGTACCTTTCCTGTCCAAATGGCAGACGCTTCGCGCCAGGTCTCCATCGCCATGCATGGCCCAGAGCCAAAAAGCCGTTCTGTCGCGTCCGACGATACCAAACGCATCCAAAAGTCTGGCTGGATACCTGCCGCTTGCTTCAACGTGCCCTTCGCTCCCGCGCGTGCAGATTGGCGCGCAGCCTCACACCCTATCGGATTGTGCGCAGAGTTGTACGCAAGATGGCAGATTGGACGAGGATTGGACATCTATCGTTACACCAGGCCCCTCAATGCCGTCTCCCACGACCGATAAAGACAATCAGGCACCAACAAGCCACCGACCCCTGGACCCAGGCGAAGACGGGCTGGCCCCCAACAAAGACCAGGAGACGCCACGTGCAGGCGTTATGTCGTCTGAGACGTCGGCCTCGCGACGTTTCCGTGAAGATGATTTCACCACGAACAAGCGGCATTCCACCTCGACTGTGGATGAAATTGTTCACCATGGAGCTGCCGCGGCTCAGAAACCTTATTCCATTCGCTCCACCGAGTTCGGTATAATTAATATGCATACGAACGCGTGCGGCATCCAGATCGAAGAGAGCCAGCCATCAAGGACCACTGCACGGCCCCCGAAGGAGAATCAGATCGAAGCCGTGGCCGGGCATTTTGAGGCAAGCCCGAAGAAGCCGTTGAATCCTCAACGGATCAGCAACACGATTGAGCACTTTGAAGCGCTCATTTCTGGAGACGGGTCGAATAGGAAGCACAAAAGCAGCATTCGGTTACCGAAACGCCTCACGGGATCAACGTCGTGCCGTTTAAGCAGGCCCGAGAATACGATCAAAATGGGTGCAACCGAGTCCACTCGAAGGAAGTTCTCAAACTCTTGGGGGCCGGCACGATTCCGGAAGAGTCGTGCACCATGTGGTAGCGACGCAAGACAGTCGAAACCCTCGGATGAGCCTTCCCACAAGGTGTTCAACGATCCGTTGCCTACCGACGGCACTATGGAGACGAGTCCTCCCTCTCTGGAACACTGGCTGGGCAGGTTCCACAACGACAAGAAGATGAACACCGGCCGCGTTGCACAACTCCAGTCTTCCAAGACGAGAACGATGACGAGCGGTCGTCTCAGACCAAAGGGACCACGACCACAGCCGGCTACCACGGCCGAGAATAGACTCTATTCACAGTCAGCGGAGCAGGTGACGACTGGCGCAGATATGCGTGCAGTTGTCAGTGATGGCCGTGGCAGTTGGCGGTCCAAACGGCGTTGGGTGTCGCGAAGCAGTATTCCGCTGGTCGCGCAGGCCGACTGTGCGCTCCAGCAGCCCAAGCCGATACGGGTCAATGAAGTCCGGCGACTTGTCAGTTTGTGCCGGGACAAAATGACGGCGCGGAAGCATCGAGCGCAAACAGATTAGTCGGGCCCGTGTTTGAGGAACGCGCGTTGCGTCACGCCTTGTACGTTTGCACCATGCGGGCCGTGGGTGGGAATTGCGTTCTGGCATTGTATGGCTATCTTTGATTTGATGAAGAGGCAATTGTGTACACGACATATCTTGGGTTTGAGAAGGAAACAGATGTGATGCTATGAAAGTGAAGCTTTACCAAGTGACCAAAGTGGCAGGCACTTGGTGGTGCAGCCGAACTGACGCGGAGGCAAGGAAGTTGTGTGATGATATCGAGGGTAAAAAGCATCTGTTACACCACCCTCTTCCCCCCCTTTCAGCATCCTCCAGATGGCAAAACGCTCAAAGAACCCCCTAGATTCCCGGCCGATCCTGCGCCATGTCCATATCAGCCTCCCGATGATCAGCCAACTCAC